CGAGGTGGTTGGAGATCGGCGCCCCGCGATCTTTGCATGCGTGTCCTGTCGGGTTTACGCGCCGCGCCGGCGGAAAAATTGGAGGAGTGAAGGTGTGGAATAACAATGCGCGGCGCGAAGCGGAGAGTGCGGCGACGTGTGGCGGCCGGGAGTGCCTTTTATCGCAAAACGCGCCGTTCGTTCGCGCCCGCCACCATGTAACGTCTGTGTGGCCGGCGTTACGCAATCCATTAAAAAGTCATTTTACAAGAAACTCTCTCGAGCGCGGCGCCGGCGCATTTGGCTATCGCGGGGATCGCGATCGAGGAAACAATTCTGCCAGCGTCCAACTTCTAGCCGCGCTTCAACGGCCGCCCACACGCGGCCAGCAGCTCGCGCGGGCAGCACCCACAGCCTCGTAAAGCTTGCTCGCGGCCGCTTTTCAGATGCTAATAATCACTCGCGAATGCTCCTCGCGCTGTTTTACGGATTAACAATTCTCTTCACCTCCCTCGCCCGCTGGAGCGGTCTAGACGCCGCGCCGGGCCGCCGTGAGAAATTTGTGCGTGACCTCCGTTTCATCTCAAGATTACGCGGTAATACGGTGCGACATGTCAGAACGTACAAAGTGACCGAACGATTACACAAAAGACACGCTTATCGTCCGTGGGAAACGGGAAACAGCGCAACGCGCATTCGCTTTTGACGCTTTTGCATAATTTACGCGCAAAGTCGACAAGTTCCGCGGTAATTATTTACTCTTCAGATACCAACGTGGCACGCCGCTGCACCGGCGTGCATGTTCGCGCGGGAGATTCTCTCTTTTCCTTTCCTCTTTGTTTTCCATCGTATCTCTTTCTTCTTTGCATCCCTTTGGAGAAACGATCGATCACAATGCCGACCGTTGTTCGCGCGCTAATCGGACACGCGCTAATCGGCAGTGCGTCGCAACCCTTCCTTCCAGGAAGACGACGACGGGTGCGAGATGATCGAGCTCGCCGTTGTTTGACGATGCCAGACGAGAACGGAGAAAGAGAGCCGGTTACACATCGCGCGCGATTATCGCGCCGACGGGCCATTTGATTTTCTCATTATCTGGCCGCGAACGATAATTTCCTTTGAAGCGCGGCGATAATTTATTGCAGTCCCGATGCGGCGCAGCGCTTCATGCCGTTCACGTGTTGTTTACGCACGACGTGCGCGGGGCTGCAATACGGCCGCGTTATTTTATTAGCGTTTTATCGGGTGGAGAAAGCCGCGAGTCGCGCGCTTCACGAGAGGGTTGCGTATCCCCAGTCAACGTGGGGATAATTTATCGTCAGCGGTTTAGCAGAATCTCGCATTGTCCGGCGCGGTAATAATGATTTATCTCCGGCAACTTAAGGAGGTAATCAGCGCTCTGTTATAACCAGCACCTCTCCTCTGCCCCTTTCCCCGCCTCACCCTCCTCGTTTGCTCGTTTCTAGAGCAGCGATTATCGCGAGGACACACGTTCGCACTCGCGCTCGCGCTCCTCGCGCCGTTCCATTTTTCCGTTCCGCCGCGGTGAGTCACTTTGTAATCGTTCTCACGTGGGTCTTTTGCATTAAAATGACAATGAGTTTTCGTTATTCTGTTGGGCGCTTTCTCTCTCTCTCTCTCTCTCTCTCTCCCTCCCTCCCTCCCTCCCTCCCTCCCTCCCTCCCTCCCTCTTTCGTCCTCTGGCTGAGAGGAACGATTTCAAATTCGACGTCGCGCGGATTTCTGAGCTGCGCGCTTTGATGTTTTGGCTCGGATTTGTAATCCGAGCGGGATGCCGAGGGCTCGATAACGGGATTAACCGACCGCGATTAAGCGATCTTTTACTGTGAAAGCCAATCGTCGCGGATGTAATACCGTCGCGAGGTACGGACAGCGCGGTCGTAATCTGCGGAGTACAGCACGCGCGCTCGCGCGTTTCCGATTAAAATCTGAAATCGCACAGCTCATGAATTAAGTATGTCGCGTTGTTATCTACATTCCCTATCGTCGCGCATAGCTTCGTAATTACCGGCCGTACTTGTCACGGACGCAATATCGCGCACGGCTGGTACTCCGCGAAAATATTTTCCGCGCTTGCAATCGCGCTTTTTCCAACCCGGATAAACGGCGCGCTTTATCGCGCCTGCTGCGCAAAAATCGTCGCCGCGATCAAAACATCTCGCGCGCGCGCGAAAGAGTGCGCGCACGCGAGATCGTTGCGTAATAATGGAGAATATTTGCCGGGGCGGAGGACACGCGTGCGGGAACTCAAGGCGACGGGCACAGCGAAAGATTCAGACAGCTAATAGCTATGGACACACGTCGCAGTGCTGTTATGTTACATTGTTCCGTTCCGGAGCGCGCCGCCCAAAGTCCGCGCAATTTCTATCGGTCTCAGGGTCCCGCGGCGAATTTAGCGAGGCGCGTTATGGGGAGGTCATTCTCGACGAGACAGAATCGATCAAGGACAGCCGGGGGAAAAGTGGAACGGAGAGTTACAGTTTCGATTACTGAATTTACTTTCTCCTTCTGTGCAGACTGCCATCGGCCGGCGCGGTGACACGCCGTTGGCGTTTGATACGCTCGGTTCATTTCATGCAAGCGCGGCATTTATCGTAAGCGCGGGGCTCCCGAGAGAGCGAAGCCATGTTAAAAATAAACATATCCGTTATCAATTGGCAAGGTTTACACAATCCTGTTTGCATGATAGCTGCCAAAGCTGTGGAAATTGCACGACAATATTCAGGCTCCTCCGTCGCGTCGCGTCGCGTCGCGTCGCTCGCGCGGTTGGTCGTAATTCTTAATCGCCCCCGACGCTTTATCTGACAGTTATCATAATCACGCGATGCATCGCGCGGCCCAATAAAAGATCCCGAAAAAAGGAACAGAAGGAGGAGAAGAAGCGCGGCGAGAAAGAAACAGCGAGATCGGTGATAAAACAGCGCAATATAAACCGAATATAAACCGAACGCACCGGAATTTAAGAGGTTGTTTGTATGTTGTATCAGGAATATTTTCTCGGTCGTATCTTATCGTCAATTTGTAAGACGCGAGATACACGCAAGATACACGGTTCGACACTTCAGACGTGCTAAACATCATTATAATGTCGACTTCGCCGTTTCTTCACAAACGTCCATCAGATAGGTGGCTAGTGAGTATCATCGTTGTAATCTCTCCTCATTCGCCCGCACAGATCATCTCGGACTTATCGAATCGTCTTTTGATCCAAAACTAATTGACCGATTTAGAGGATCGATATTTCATCAGTGGTCAGACGCGATTTTGTGTGATTTAGCCGTGTAAACGCATGAAATCACGGGACTTATTTTCAACTTGCAAATCGCAAACAAACGGCAGAACTCGCTCGTTATTTAATATCATTAAATCCGGATTAAAATGTTGATATATTGACGATATACGCGCGAAAACACATTTGAAGTGTGAGAAGGATTGAAAACATGTGACGACTTTCCTCTACGTCTTTGATATAAAAAGTCGATTCTAAATATACCACTTAAAAATTCCGCAAACAAGAAGTGATTTCCTCGTGCAAAATACTTGCTGTGTTTTGACAGAATATCGAATTAATTCTTACGTGTTTTCATATAACGCGGATGTCATCTTGAGGTTCTAAATAAGAAACGACACATTGTTGAGATATTTATTCTGAGATCGCACGTGCCGATGATATAATCGATTCGATCAATCATACGCGAATTGAGCTATTGAAGAGAGTCAATGACTCCTCTTAATTATCAGTCATTTAATCGATTGCAAGAAGAGCATGGACAATAATTATTACTTGAACCCAATTGCGCGCGTCGGTAGCCGGTTGATAATTCTAATTAGACGACGAAAGTCTGACGAGACGCGTTTCAATTTCAAAGTTTGAGCGTGAGGACAAAATCCTCGTCGAATTTTCCACGAATTTCTCGCGGATTCTCTCTTCGCTCTATTCGTGAATGTCTTTTTGGTTTACAAAGCGGTTTACAAACACACACCGAGAGACAGTTCGGCTTTAACTTGATTCTATCCACGGGTTGTTTTACGCACGTTCGAAGCTCGTGAGAAAACTCCCTGAGAAGAAAGATCCGTGTTTCCACGACATCCTGCTAATCTGAGGAAAGTGCTCGGATTTCACACGTGGCTTTGATTCTTTCGGCACCGAGAGAAGAGCGTACCGCGATTCGAGGTGTTGCTTTTCATCTACGAAACGTATCCCATCTTTTCCTTCGCCGAGGTAGACATGATTTGAAATGTTTTGTGGGTACAGTCTTGATGATTGATGTATTTCGCACGATGACTCGCGCTCATACACTTTAGATCGACGAGACAGGGAGAGACGAGCTATCCGAAACGTCGCCTTGCATTCCTTCTACGGAATAAACTCTATTGAACAGATCAGACGCGCGTCGATATATTCGCGCGTTCAACTTCGATCATGTTACGATTCGTAATCAAGTATGGCCGTGCGTCGCTTCGAATATTGCTCGGGCTAATTTCAAGCGACGTTACTTCGAGCCACGATCGTTGGTGTGTCTCGGTGGAAACGCGGAATGTCATAAGAAAGATCGACAAATCTCTTTATCCGTCTCTACATTTCATTCTCTCTGCTAATGCTGCGTAAAGCATCGGCACTTGCGGCAAGTCTCCTGAAACATGTGGCAATCCGCTCGGAGTTCGCGAAGCAGCGAACTGATTCCCGATCTTTCGTGTAACAAAAGGAAGCTCTTCAGAGAAAGAGAGAGAGAGAGAGAGAGAGAGAGAGAGAGAGAGAGAGAGAGAGAGAGAGAGAGAGAGAGAGAGAGAGAGAGAGAGAGAGAGAGAGGAACATAGAGTAAGAGGGAAAGCGAGAGACCCATTTTTACGGGAACTCTTCTCACTTTCAAATTCCGAACGCGCCTTGTCAGCATCCTGTAGTAACTGAATTCCACCGTCGGACGCGTATAACTACTCCGTCCGTCCTCATTACGTGCATATTTCGCAGTCTCATATTCTGCGTCTCGTTGTGTTTTCAGACATTCGACCAGGACGATGTCGACGACGCAGAGCAAAGTGGATGAGCAGGTTTCTGCGGGCAAGCCGCAGCAAAACGGCCGCGGCTGCACCAAGAACGAGGAGCTGCAGCTCGAGGACGTCAACGACAACAACAATGACGAGGTGAGAGAGGCCTAGCTGTGTCGCGCTCTCGCTCGCATGCTCGCAAGCGAGCAAGTAAGCGCGTTGTAGGTGTGTCAAAATGCAAAGCTGCAAAAAGTCGCATCGCACGACTCGCCCGAGCCGTGTCGTCTCGCTGCGCGACGATCAGTGTGCTCGAGTTAAGAGCGACGGGCGGCTCTCGTCGTAAAGTGCAAAAGCGCGATATCGCCTTATTTGCGACACATAATGGACCGATAGGCGTTGTCTCGCGCTGTGGGTCATCCCAGGGGCGGATACCGCGTTCCGTGCTCAATTTTTTCCCTTATCAATCCTCTCGCCTCTCTCGAAGTCAAGCGCGGACGCCCCCGCGTCGGTCTCTGCTTTCGCATCGTGAGCGATAATAAATAAAACCGGCCCGTCGATTTCTGTATGTGTGTGTCGTCGACCGACGACAACGATACGCGTCGCTTGCGCGAATAATGGGACTTTCAGGCGAGCCTAGAACCTGGTATCGGCATTTCGCGCTCGAACGCCTGGACGGACAGCACGTTTTCCTGGTCGACGAGCCGCTTTCGCGACGATTTCCTGAATTATGGGACGAGCGTTGCCTCGCGTTGAAGACGAGAAAGATAAACTTTCCTACCCTCGTGTCTCCGTAATTAATCGATTCAGGTCATTGAGGAAAGACCACTTGCACGAAGTAACGTTATTTTCAAGTTATGATATTTTCTCTCTCTCTCTCTCTCTCTCTCTCTCTCTCTCTCTCTCCCTCTTTTCTTTTTCTCAAGCGACTTCACAAACGATAAGAGAACGCGCAATCGTAGTGCATTCGCTTGCACGAAGCAACGTTTATTTTCGAGTTATGATATTTTCTCTCCTTTTCCTCCCTCCTTTCTTTTTCTTAAACGACCTCACGACGATAATATGCGCAATCGCTTAATGTGTTACACCGTTATTTCGCTTCCCCCTCGGACTATTATCGGACGAAAAAGTGCTATTTTATGATCCAGCGTCGCGGCCATCGCTGGCAAATTTTCACCGTCCGCGACGATTCACAGGCGACACCACGACGCTCGCGGCGGATTGATAACTTTCGAAGTTTGGGTCACGACGAATCGACCGAAATATACTAAGGAGATGACTTTCTGAGCGGCCTTGACCTTAGCACCTTGTGAATTTCCATGAAGCGAACGCTGATGTCGAAATTTCGACGGACAGTCGTCGCGAATTAAATGACCTCGAGCCGCCGCTGCGAACTAGTCTCGTTATACATACATCGTATGTATCCGTGTTTTCCGGGGAGCGAAAAAGCAGCTCCCACGCGATGATTATCCCCCCGTGAAATTTATCGATAGTGGAGCTGCGAGGAGAGCTCCTAACACTCGGGCAATCGCGCGATACGACGGCGCGCGGATTTTCACGCCAACGCAATCGAGCCTCCGAATCTTTGCGAGAACGAGAACGGCGCAGTTGTTGCTAAACGCGATTATGAGCGAGGCAATTCCGGCGATTTCCACGAGAAAGTCATTAAGCGCGTGTTCTTTTTGCCAGTTTCATGAAACACAAACCTCCGGGCCGGCTTCTCGCGAAGCGATCCACTCTGTCTTGTGCGAATTAGAACTCTGACACACATTACGCGATAATAACAACTGTTAGTTTATCGCCAGCTTATCGCCGGATAACGCATATCGGCGCGTTCTCTAATTTTAAACGCTTCTGATTTCGTGGCTGTTTAAACAAGGCCTCGATTTCTTTCACAATCAGGCGCACGTCGGCTGCGCAAATTTCCATACTAATTAGAAACGATAGGCTTTTAATTCCCATTAACGAGCTCGCCCGTATAAATTCGAAGCCCGGCGGCGAGTTTTCTTTGATTTCGCGCTTCCGAGAGGATTGGATCACGGCGCGGATTCCGATCTGCTGTTCCGAGTCGCGCGATCGTCAGTCCGCTTTATTTTTATATGCAAATGCGAACACCGGACCTAGCCTTCCTTCTTTCAAACGGACGTAAGTACCTGTTCCTCCAAAGGAAGACTCAAACGAGGAGGAGAGGAGAGAGGAGAGAGGAGAGAGGAGAGAGAAGAGAGGAGAGAATCGCAGTTAGTAGACTTTTAAAACGCTCGAATGCTAATCGCGTTTGAGATATTTCAAGTATGCACGCGGACGATGTAAATCCCAAGGAAAAGAGCGTCGCGCTCGCTCGAGATACTCGTCGTCCTCACGATCAGATGAAGACGAGCTCGCTCGCCTTACATACATATTTCCTCCCGATCGTGATAATTTCGCGAGCGCGTCATTCTGTCGGCAGGCCATCGAGGTGGAAATGGTGGTGCCACCCGACGGGGGATGGGGCTGGGTGATCGTCGCGGCCTCCTTCATGTGCAACCTCTTCGTCGACGGCATCATCTTCAGCTTCGGCGTGTTCCTCAACGACATCGCGAACGCGTTCGCCGTGTCGAAAGCGAGAGTCGCTCTCGTCGGCTCGTTGCAAACTGGATTTTACCTCATGGCTGGTTAGTAGCGTAATAATAACCGATCACAACACGACGCCTGTATATTAAATCTGGATCATCGTCCCGCGCTTGCAACTCGGCAATCGGCCGAGCCCGCGACGTGTTCAGCCAAAGTACAATAGAAAAATTCGGAACTGCACGACACGTAACGGCCCCGCCGCGCCGGGCCGTTCGTGCCGCAACGGCACGCGAGATCTCGAGCGTGCGTTTCCTCGCCGGCGAACTTAACGATCAGATGACGGATGAGGATTTGCATAACGACACAGTTGTATCCGGGAGAATGTATTTGATCAGTGTCGGCGCGCTGCTGCTGCGTAATAGCGAAGTAAATGCGACATAATGAACAATCAATACAAACAGAGATTGTGTATCTTCGCCAGTTGATTCCGCCAGATTTGTTCTTAGAGACAGCGGAGCGTAAACATAAGGCGCGAAGAGGAGGAGGAGGAGAGGCCGAGCGGCGGCGAGGAGGGGACGTGAGGAGGCGGTTAGTCGTTAATCGGTGAATTCGCTCGCGCGATTGAGATATCTATTCCGAAGACACGTACCTCTCTTCCCTGCGCCCATCGCAGGCGCGCAGTATGTTTCTTTCTCCTCTTTCTTTTCTTACAAAATTCCCAAAACACGTGATAAAACGATAGCCGACGAGTGTGCGCCGAACTGATAAGTCTGTTTGTAAAATGTTTCGCGGCATAATATTCTCGTCGTCGTGCTTTCGGAATCTTCCCGATGCTTATCGCGCCGATAAAAATTACACGCGTTACGCGCGTTAGCGACATGATGGGGCGCGGTAGAGGATGGGGGGGGTGGAGATTTTCGCAGCTGCGAAAAGTCCGGGAAAGAAACGAGCGGGAAAGAACATTTCCGCTCGGGCTGACGCAATATCGATTCGCGCGACTCCGAATTCACGAAAGGACATCGATAATGAACGATTCGACGTGTGGACGCGCTCCGCGCGTCAAGTGCGTAGCCGGACGTTGTCGTCGCGCGGTGATACGCACGTAAGCGTAAGATCCGAAAGGGGGCGAAACGACGGCGCCGGCGGTTCATTTACGCGGAAATTACACACCGCGGGAATCCCTCGCGCGCGTGCGACACGCGCCTCTGTAATCGGTCCGGCAATGCTCGCGAAAATTGCGCTTAACTAGCGCTTAACTCCCCGCGATGATGAAGAGCAATGTAAGCTACTTTCTCGCAATTTATCCTTAATACTCCGGAAACTGTTTGCGACCCCTGCTCCGCGAATTAAGAGCAGAGCGGCGCGCGGCACACGTGGACGCGGCCTCGTGTGTGTACTTGACGCGCAATTAAAAAATTAACCTCCTGCAAGATAGGCGACAGCAAGTAACAATTACTAGCGACGTAGCTTTTTGTACTTGCAAAATACGTACGTGGCCGTCGCCACTTTTCGTTATGCAACGCGGCGGCTTTGGCGCGGCCATTGTGTCCGTATCGCTCATGCGGGCAGTACGCGCGCGTACTGTCTCTCCCCGCGAATTCGACTGATTGTCGGACTGTCAATTATGGACGCGTTTTACAAACGCGCGACAGATTCCCACCGCAGGTTGGCATACCGCCTGACCGAGAGCGGTTAACACAGCTTGAGGTGGAGTAAAGTAACGATTAAGAGGGAATCGATAATCAAGGTGTAACGAGCATGATTTACACGTCTCCGTCTGCGACACGTACGCACGCACACATCGATTACTCGAAGGTTAACGCGAAGAGCTCGCAGTCGACGACAGAGGAGAGGAGAGGAGACTCCGTCGCGACGACCGAATTACCAATTTTTCCAGGTCCCTTCGTGTCCGCTCTCGCCAATCGATACGGTTTCAGGCTGGTCGCGATATTAGGAAGTATCGTGAGCTGCAGCGCATTCGTCCTCTCGTACTTCAGCACTTCCATCGAGTTCCTCTACGTCTCTTACGGCTGCATCGGTAAGTTCCTCTCTCTCTCTCTCTCTCTCTCTCTCTCTCTCTCTCTCTCTCTCTCTCTCTCTCTCTCTCTCTCTGCGTGTGGGCAGTTTTCCCCCCATGCTCTCGGGTCTCCCTTTTTCTTTCCTCTTTTTTCTCGTGATCATGCGGAATGCTTTCCGCATGATCAGAGTGGCGCACGTCGAGACCCTGAGAGGAGTATCGCGACCCACGAAATTCGAGCTGCATCGCAAATGATTTTCTCTCCTTTTCTTTCATTCTCTCCCGGGGAAATCAGGCGGTATTGGAGCGGGCCTGATATACGTGCCGGCCGTGATTACGACCGGCTTTTACTTCGAAAGATGGCGCGCCCTGGCTACCGGTATCGCGGTGTGCGGATCTGGCATCGGCGCGTTCCTGCTCGCGCCGATCTCCGATCTGCTCGTGAAGAACTTCGGCTGGAGAGGCGCGCTGCTCTTCCAAGCGGGTGAGTATTACTTCATCGAGCGCGACCGCGTCGGACGTATTTCAAGGGCTGCGGATCTCCCTCTTTCGATTAGAATACATGCTTTTCATGAACCTCATGATACGGTCGAGATCGTCGATTTTCGTTTCGCGCGGAGGACTCACGGTCCGTTTGCTGCTGAAACATTTTCCTCGCCGCGGACGCCGTTGGACGTGTTCATTCAGCTTTCCATCGCGCGAGCGATATGCGCAGTCATCCGCGCCTTGCGCAAGCGTAAGGCGCAGCGAGCAACCTTGCCGGAATTTTTTCCCAATTAAACTTTCAATCAAATTCCCTGTGTCTCGCATTCTTATCTGCGTTCTCTCATCGTTGGAAACGGCGGCAGCGGCTTTTCCCCAGCTAATAACACGCTGCGTCGCGGGCGCTTGATTCGATAATGTAATAAAGGCTCGCGCCGCGGATCTGATGAAATAACATGCGATTAAGCCGCGCATATCGTTTGCCGCGCGCGAGACAAGTTCGCGACCGAGGTGCCGTTTAATTGAAAAGTCACTTGCGAAACCGCGCGAAACGCTCGCGCTTTCCGCCGCGTCTCGAGTCCGTGACCGGCGATACGTTGATGTGCGTGTAATCAACTGTCAAATATATTATCCTCGCGACACCTGGAGGGAGTCTGTATCTCGCGGGACTATACAATGAATAGCGAGCGGCGTTCGGCGACTGGCGACTTGTCACGCAACTCGTAAACGCAATTCTCCGCGCGAAGAGATGGATCGCGCCGGCGACGCGAATTTTAAGCAAAATGGCATAACAGTTGAATGGACGAGGAGAAGTGACTCGCGGGTGGCGTTTGCAGGCATGCTGCTGAATTGTGCTATATTCGGCGCCATGTTCCGACCCTTGAAGCCGACGAGGATAAAAGTGAAGTCCACCCCGGAGAACGCCACGCTCGAGGTGAAAAGCACGCTGATGGGGAAGGGCGTGTCGACGGCCTCGTTGCACTGCGTGCAACCGAACAGAAGCCGCTTCTTCGGCACGAACAATAATACGGAATATCCGACGGCGGCCGAGATGCTCGGCAGCAGCCCAAATATAGTAAAGTAATGAGCCCCGGGGGTAGTCACGCTCTCTCTTTCTCTCTCTCTCTCTCTCTCTCTCTCGCACGCGCGTGCAGATCAAGGCTCATCGGTTTCGATTTCAGCGCGTCCAAGTCCCTGCACTCGCTGAATAAGATGCACGTGGAGGCTCAGGCCCTGGAGAAGAAGGTGAGCAGTTCAGAGAAACGGCTGTCTGTGCCGACCTATCCCGACTTGGATGTCATAAATAACGAAGAGAAGATCGCCGAGGAGAACAATTTGCTCAGCGGCGACTTGGAGCGGCTGAACGGCAAAGTACCGACGGTGAGATCGATACGTAAGGTGTTTCAGATGGACGGAAAATTCAGCCGTATTTTCGAGCCGGCCTCGCCGGGGGATAGCCGTGTCGGGTCGAAACGGTTGGCCCGTCGAGTGGGATTCATTAGAAATTCAAAGATTAAGGAAGATAACTTCTCGCTCGGTAGCGCCCGAGATATCGGCGGTACCAGAAAACGACGCGCGAGAGCGCGTCCGGACGATGTTCGTTCTCTACTCGTTCGATCTCGATCGGGGGTTATCCGTCGCGGCGAAAGGTTAAACGATCGTTCACGTGGTGGTCGATTAAGAACTACAAAGTTAGCGAAAATATTGAGACATCGCGTTGAACTTGATCGATGATCCAAGACCGCTGTTAGTCCTGCCTTTCTCTCTCATTCTCTCTCCCTCTCTCTTCCTCCTTCTCTCGTGAGATTCATTCTTCTCGCTTGTTGTTTTCAAAGAGCATCCAGAATGTATCACGCGACGTGTTACGAGAAAAAGAGACTAGTCCGAGACTTTTGCCAAGAGCGGAGAATTTAGTGCTTCCGAGGCTATAAACGTCAACTCTCTGACCTGGAAAATCTTCCAAATCGAGTCACGAATTATTTATGGGTTCCTAAGCGTCTCTATCTCCGTCGTACTCGTCCGTGAAAACAATCGTCACGACGCAATTGACACTTGACGCGTTATCGTTCTAAGATCGCGCGACCCGACGCGATATTAATTCGTATTTTTCTATGACTGACATATTTTCCGGGATAATACGCACGACTGGCGATGCGAGGTATCGCGCAAGGTCCGTGCACTTTAACGCACTTCGACCAATGTTTCAGACCCGCCGGCACACCATCAGTGGCAGACGCCTGCGAACGGATTCGGAATGCAGTCAGAAGTCTCTCAGATCGGGCAAGCGAAATCAAGCGAGTAAGGACCCGCAGAGACCGTTTTACAGAGACGACATCTTTTACGGCGGCTCTTTAAATAGATTACCTCACTACAGATCGCAGGTAACTATCCCGCGAATGTTCCCACGAAGGAGCACCGCACAGCAATTTTCGATCGATCGCACAGCAATTTTCACTATCGCTCTTGCAAGTGTTCATTATAAAAAAAAAAGAAAGAAAGAAAGAAAGAAAGAAACTTTTCAGATAATTTTTGCGGAAACGAAAAATAAAATCCACGAGTCGAAGGTCTAGCGATAATTCCGTTCGCTAATTCCGGTTCTATGAATCTAACGTTGCCAACCGGATAGCAGATAAACTGTTCTACTTAAGATATCGCGAAATTGCGTCTTCGCAGCAATCGTCGGTCGGTTATCACATGTCAGTGACGCGGCTGCCAACGGCGACGGACGTCGCGGAGGAGGAAAGCGGAAGCTGCTACCTGTGTCCCGAAAGCGTGCGTCGTATTCTGACCACGATGCTCGACCTCAGCCTCCTCAAGAGTCCATCCTTCCTGATACTCGCTATCTCCGGTGGGCTCACCATGATGGGCTTTTACACGCCTTTCATGTATGTGCCGGGTACGTGTATCGGCTCTGATCAGTAATACACATGTCCTTTGAAAAATCTCTTTGACGAGGAGAGCACGATCTCTCCCAGGGAATTCTCAGAGCCGAGCAATTTTCCCCAGCGAGCGATTCTCTCGACAACGTGACGATTGAAGATTCATAACATTCAGATAAGATTACACTCATGATATGCAGTCTCTTTGACAAGCGTAACAGAGCGAGAGAGAGAGAGCGAGAGAGAGCGAGAGAGAGAGAGAGAGAGAGAGAGAGAGAGAGAGAGAGAGAGAGAGAGAGATTCTTATCGTTCTATCTTATCGTTGAACCTTTAATCGTCATATTGTTCTAATCCGCACGCCAAACAATCGACGCTCATTAGCCGACCTATTTGCAGATCGAGCCATAAAGGCCAACATCGATGCCTCGACGGCGATGTTCCTCGTTTCGGTAATCGGCATCGGCAATACCATCGGTCGTATCGTTTGCGGCTTAGCGAGCAGCCTGCCCGGGGTTAACGCTCTGGTCGTGAACAACGTGTTTATCAGCATCGGCGGTTTGCTCACCATATTCTCCGGCTTCTCCCTGACGGAGGGATATCAATTCTTCTATGCGGCCGGCTTCGGCCTGAGTATATGTAAGTGGGCGATTATAGTAAGTCCGCGAGCGTTAACTTCTGAAATTTCCGCCGCGAGTCTGCCGCAGACGCGACTTATCGTGCCGCGACTCATTTTACGATGCGTTTTCACTTAGACTCCTCGCGCCGGACAGTTTCACGGCGATTTATGGCGCGCACAGCATATATATACTTAATTATTCTCCCTTGTGTGCGCACAGCCGTGTTCGCCTCTTTGAGATCGATCCTCGTGGTGGATCTGTTGGGCTTGGAAAAGCTGACGAACGCTTTCGGACTGCTCCTTCTGTTTCAAGGCGTGGCGGCGGCTATGGGCGCGCCTCTCGCAGGTAATTAGAAAATATCGATCACTCTTCGGGTTATGTACTTCGGCAAACAGCGTTGCCGTCGGACGAAAATCCCGCCGGACAAGGCGCGGGATGCTTTAATTAAAGGTGACAAGACGCGCCGCGCCACGTCACCGACGTGAATCTTATCGCGGGAATTTTCATCCGATTCTAATCCGATCTCTATCTGTCGCTCACGTGAGAAGCAACCGCGACGACGCGCCTTCCGCGATTCTAGGAATTGTTTATGCCACTCGTCAGAGAGTTATTCATTATCGGTGCGTGCCTCCCATCGCCGGACGCGTGCGATGCCTTCGTCACGAGTGAACTCGCTCAACGACCACGACTCTGTTATGCAGGTGCGTTCATGGATGCGACCGGGAGCTACGACGCGTCGTTCTACCTGTCTGGCAGCCTGATACTCGTGTCGGCGGTGATTTGTTACCCGCTCAAGAGGATCAACACGTGGGAGAGGCTCGGCGAGCAGAACCCGGCCGCCCGCGATCCCTCCAAGTCCTGATCGAAGGCGCAAAACGCCACACACCGTAGAGATCATACTCGGCAGACGTGAGCGCGCGCGTGATCGGGCGCGCTGCGTATGTTGTACATATTAATGCATAATAATTTATAAGCGAGCGCTCTCGAGTCGACAACACAATCGTCATCGCACGCTCGCGAGGCGCGCCGCACGTCCATGGGAAAACGAGCGATCTCGCGTTCGCGCGCGATCGGCAGGAACTCCGCTCGCGGCTCGGGCGAAATGCAAAATCAGCAGATCGTGTACCTGGAGGAAGAATAACGATGAAAGAGCAGCGCCGATTCTTCACGTGCCGAACACGTGCCTTCCATCACCAAAAGTGACCTTCTGTCGACTGAACGAGAAGGGTCGATCGCCTCGGCGGGACCTTTGTCGTCCCGCCTTGTCGCGCGAATTCAATTATGCTAATCTCCCTCCGTGTCTTCGCCGTCTCACCGCCGTCGGCGGGTGCGAGACGAAGCGCCCTGTGTGTTTCGTCGTTTCGCGTTTCGAGTGTTTCCGTGTGTTTCGAGTTTTCGCGTGACAAGTTGAAACTCAATTCGCGGACTCGCGTCGCGGGTCGAGCGCGAGACAGCGGAGTCGTGTACATAACGGATGGAAGTCGTTTTACGAGCGAGCTACGGCTACCAATTAGTTCGTACTTCATATATTCCTCCCGAAAGAAGCCAAGAGCTTTTTGTTTTTCACAGATAACATCGATCTAGCTTAACGTGCGCGCTGTTTGTTTGTCGCATAATGTTACGTGTGTACACGGGAAAAGTGTACTCGGATCGTGTAACTGCTTTTCTGTTATCTCCAGCGGCCAGACGAACACACACACACACACACACACACACACACACACGCACGCACGTGTACACACTCGATTTCAAGAGCGGAAAGATTTCCGCGGAAGGAGATTCCCTCCGTGGAGTCTATTGTTCCTCGGTTCCTTCCCGGCCGAGTCTGAAAGCAGCCGAATGTTCAGGCGGAAGCTTTCCGCTCGCGATAACGGAGATATCGCCCTCGAGTCTTTCGGTTTTGTCTGGTCTTTATTCGAATTATGTACGCGCATAAAAATGAAATTTTTTATATACATGAAAGTGAATTTGTATCATATGTATAAAAGCGAGATCTTTTCTTCCGTGTACATTCTACCGAAATCAAACTGCCACACACGCGCATTACATATAGCTTAGCCTTTTTATATGAGGAGATTTTACGTAAGCATTTGTAAGCATTGTTAGCCACTCACACTCTTGTGTGTAATTCCGCGAGAGAGTCGCAGAGATGAATTCGAAACCTAGCGACTCGCGCACTCGTGCTGTGCACGACATCGTCGTCGCGTTAAGCGGTTAACCGCGCGCCGCCGGAAGGCATTTGTACTTGCTGCGTGCGCGTCACACACGAGCGCGAAAATAATCTCAGCGGGAAGTGCGTATCTTCCGATATAATGTTATTTATAAGTGTGTCATTCCATCCACGCTTTCGAGAGCGGCGGAACACTTCGCTGCGGGACACGCGAGACAGAACGGAAGACCCGTCGATCGCGATCGATCGACCGCTCGCTCTCGCGAGACTCGACGATTTGTCTCGACGCGAGACGCGCACAATGTTCGATCTTCCCCCTTGGCCTGGCAACGACCAGCACGCGTCGATCCTTATGAGTAATACACCTCGCGCGGGCGTTCCTCAACGCCGTGAAAAATGTCTCGTACATGAGCCTCGGAGATGGCTCTCGACGTCGAGACGAGCCCCGTTCCGTTCGGTCGCCGCGACGGCGTCGCGCGAAATCACGCGAAGGATTCCGTCGATTTCGAAAGCGGCCGACTCGAGTACCCATTGTTCATGATCGTTGTGGCGTTTTATCCGTTAGTTCTTTAAAAAAGAAGTTGCTCAAAAGTGAAATCCGTTCCTAGTGTTCCTAATCGCTGACACTTGCGCTACGTATATGTTACATAGTATTCTCTTCGATTCGTGCGCGCGTATCTCAGGAAACCTCAGGAGCGCCCGGAAAACGGGCGGTCTCATTTCCACCGCACGTAAAAGGTCTTCCGTAAGATCGGGATCGCGCGATCCGCTCTACTTTCTATTCGCAGGACGACTCGACCGAGCGCCGCGGAAACGATTCCGACTCGTTCGGCGGTCGTGGCGGACAAGATCATGTGCAATAAGTCCACGGATTAAAGTGCCTTAAGGAAGATACCATCGTTTCGTCGTCGAGGTCTCCCTCGTACCTACCGCGCTCTAATTTTTCATCTGCAAGATCCGCCGAAATATTGGCAAAATACTGCGCCTCCTTCCTCGCAAGGCTCGCGCCGGTACGCGCGCATTGTCGTCCTCCCCTGCGAGCCTCGGAATGAACTCTACGGGGCTAAAATATCGAGGGAAATCATCGAATTCTATCGGCGCGAGAGGAACGGCGAATAATTATTCACCGCGAACAAGAGTCGGTGAACTAACGCGCGTTAATTAATCGTGCGTTTAAAATCGCACACAAAGCCGCGCGCACGCGCGCGCTGTATCGGGCAACTTTGTACAAATTTACGTTCGAGCGACTCGCGGGCTGATGCATTCAGCCGCGGGGAACACGGTGACAGTCGGCGTCCCATGTGACAGACCTTCGCCAATACGTCAAAGTCAGCAACTTCCGCCTCCTGGGAGGATGTGCATCATGCCAGCGCGCGACGCACGAAATCGTGAATTATCTCGCCGCTCGTCGATCCCCTTTGTAATGAGATACCGCGAGTGCAAACATATTTACGCGCAAAGAGATACGCGAGCACGACAGGCGCGACGGAGGCGAAGCGCGGCCGAGGCGGAGCCTCGCACAAACCTTCGCGAGATGCAAACGATGTTTTTCCCCGGGCACATATGCAAAGTGTCGGGAGCGACGACGCGGCGCGCCGAGTTATTTGCCGCGGAATAGCGGACGTACGTCCGGCGCGAGAACCGCTGCTAGGCAAGCAGGCAGGACAAGCACGCTGTGTTTGCCGTAGACTCGTCGTCGTCGTCGACCGGGATATCTCTGTCAATGTTGGACTGCTTAGCGCGGCAACGCGTAACAACGCTTTATCGGGGCCATTGTCCGATAAAGGGTAAAGCCGGGGAACTCGAATTAGGCTTCCGGGGGTTGGGCCAGACAAGACGAAGCATCTTCGCAAGTAACGAGGCCAATCTAGCCGATCGCGGTGATTCGCGGTATTTATCGCGAGGTGTCCCTTCAGCCTCCCAAGGTACACGGCTGCTGTACTAAGGGAACTATTTACGAGAGTGCTGTTCGCCGGTCCGCCTGTTATTGCCTGTACACTCTTCCGATTAAAGTCTTTCTCCTATTTCTTCTCGTTCTTCCTCAATTATCTCGTCCGCCAATTTTTAACCTCAGCGGCGGGCGGTAGGAGAAATTAGGAGGTGCACCCGCCGTGCAGTTAAAGCCATAAAAGTAAAATTGCCAGCCGCGTTGTTATCTGCGGTCTTGTTCGTCGCTTTGTTACTGCTGGGTCGCCGACTGTACCTTCGTCAGTAACGACAGGGTCTCGTCTTTCTTTTTTTGCTTCGAGAGCGGCCGTGCCGGGGCATAAATTACCGCCCTGCGCTCAACAACGGTGTTCTCCACCTTGTTCGCTGACCAATCTCGTTCCTGTCGCTCGTGTTCCGTCGTGTTTCAGCGACGGAATTTTGCTTTTTAATCAGGCATCGGGAAGATGTATAAAAGCTAACTCGCGGGAAGACTTTCAGCGGCTGTTTTATCACTCGATGACATATTTTCGCGATTTAAGTGCACGCGCCACGAGCAGGTAGGTACAAGTGCGAAGGTGCGAGACGCGCGAAAGCGCGGGATTTTCCAAGCAAGGGCATAAATTATTTCTTTCATTAAGAGCGTGCTCGCTACTTTTTCTCCGAGCCGTGCGTATCCTTAGAACCGCCGCTTCCAACCGTGCGGCTCTCCGCGAAATTGCAGCGATATTTCACGCGCGCGCGCGCGCGTGCACGAGGAGTTCCCTCGCTTTTCAATCTGACACACCATATCAAAAGAGAGATCGAGAGGAAGGAAGAAAGAAAGAGAGAAAATATTCCGGTGAATTCAGATCAAGAACCTCGTGCAAAAACCTTCGTACGTTCGCTGCAAATATCGTGTAATGAGTTACACGTGTTCGAAATTGCCCCGATTCGTTGAAGAGAGAAGAACATGGTCTTCCCTCTGTCTCACCGTCTCGAGCGCACGATTGTCGCGTCCGTAAAATTCCCCGAGCGACCGAAGGGAAACGACTGAGAGATATCGCCACGATTAATTTTTCCGCTAAAATAAATGATTATGTTAACCGTGAGCGCGCAAAGTCAGCGCGTTATCGGCGCGGAATAGCAATCTGCTGCTTAACGGCCCGCGACTCGTCGTCGTCGTTACGAGGTATTTCCATAACGACCATGATCACCACCTTCTCTATCCAGCTCTATCGAATTGGCCGTAAAACTCACGAAGGTCCCCGCCGCTGTAATTGTTTTTCTCAATCGCGCCGCGAATGAGGATTCGTCGCAAACAACACTCCGTCGACCGGCGATATCTCCGTTAACACAATTTCCTGTTTATTCGCGTATCTTTCCACTTCCGCACCAATTTTGTCCATTGGCTCACGACGCTCACTTGCCGCAATAACAAGCTGCCGAGCAAAAAGCAAAAAGCACTTGGCGTCGCTTCAAATCGAATCATGTTTATAGCGGTATCTCACTTTTCCCTCTAGCGTTTAATACGTCAAGTGTATAGGACGTCGAGCCTTTTTGCGAGCGATAACTCTTTCCTATTTCGAAACACGCTTTTACATTCACGTTTCAAAATACTGCGCGTCTGAAAACCGTGTGGAAAAGGTTTTCACGTCGGGTGTTATATCGAGACACAATAATGTGTGTTCGTGTGTTTGTATGTTGCATCCCTCTCTTTTTCGTGTAATATCATTTTTCATCGATGAAGTGCTGTGAAGTCCAAGTCCATTAGCCTTGAAGCCGCACAAACTGCACTTTAACTCGCGAAGGGATATCAAGCTGGTGCAATTACGAGACTGTTACTCCTCGAGGATTACCAAACTTGCCAAATTTCTCCAAAAGAGAATGCATTTCGTAATTCGCGCCTTGTTCGACCATCGACGCGCATAAAGATATAACAACGAGCCGAGCTATGTTCGGCGTTGCCGGCTCACTTTGACCATCTATGCTTGGTCTTCCGTAGTGATATATGAAGGTATTAAAGGAATATTGCATGAAGGAGAACTCGACATCGACAGCGACAGGCGCACGATGTCGTCGTGAGGGAAAAAACGTCGGAGAGTCGCCGGTGCCGGTTCGAAGTCACCGGGCTTTCTGCTTCCGACTGCGGATACATTGCGACATGGAACTGGGGGTTGGTGTAGGGGTTCTCGCGGCTGCGGAGAAGAGGGCAGTGGATGAGGCGGGGGTGGTAGGTCGTTCGGGGCTCGGAAAGGGGCATGATGCGCGCCGCGACGCGTTGCGGCGAAGCTAGAGTGAGACAGACCGATTTTCCGCGCCGCAACCGCAGCATCCCCCTTTCTCACCTTCTCTCTCTCTCTCTCTCTCTCTCTCTCAACCTTACCCTCCCTCACTCTTCCTCTCGTTCCTTCTGTTCGCTATTAGCTACCTCTTCTGCTCTTTCTCTCTCTCTCTCTCTCTCTCTCTCTCTCTCTCTCTGGCTCTCTGTCGCTCTCGTCCCTTCGCGACTCCTTGTCTCTCTGTTTTTCCGCGCTCTCTTCCCTTCCGCCCCTTTTCACCCTTTACATCCGTTTTCGTTGCTTTCGCACCTATGGCTCTCCATCTCTCGCGCACTCACTCTCTTCGTCTCTCACTCTCTTTCTCCTCCCTTTCTCCGTTTCACCTCACTCGGTCCAGTACAGCGTCGGACCGTGCACCGAGCGGTTCGTCGCGCTTTCCTATCCGCACACGTACGGAAACGCACGTTGATATCCACGCGTGCACAAGCCGGTGGTACTGTTCGCAGTGGTTTGACGCAAACGAACGGCGACGCGTGCGGAGACGTCTTCGCGTCGCGACTGGTGGACAAGTCGACGAGGAAGAGCCCGCACTGTTCCGATAGGATGCCGAATCGAGCGACCGAATCCACGTGGTATACTTATAGATTAAACGCGAGCAAGAGAAGAGTGCTCTCCGCGCGGCGACTTGCATGAAGACTTCAGAATGCCCACTTCGGAAGCGCGAAAGTCGCCCTGGGATTAATTCCACTTTTCAAGATTGCAGTCATTTTTTAAGAAACTCGACGTGGACTCCTCTACAAGACACGGAAGTCTCTGTACTAGGATAAATCTCTCTTCTCCCAGGACATCGAGCGTACTAAGAGGACCCAAAGGTACTTGGAAGCGTTTGACGAGGAACAACGGATTAATGAGCGGAACGAATCGTGAGGGCGGAGAAACGCGTATATTATTCGGTCCGAATGAGAAGTGAACCTACTAAGGTTTTAAGAATCCCATCGACTTCGACTTCAGACTCGAGATTCCACGTTTAACCGGATCGCGAAGTTGAAGTTTGCCGAGCACTAATTCGCGAGCATACGAGAAAATTCGAGAGAGAGAGAGAGAGAGAGAGAGAGAGATTTCGGGTATTCTCGTTTTAAACATCTCGCTTTAAACACTTCGTGTAAGATATTTTGCATATGATACAAATGAAAAAACATACAGAAAATAATTATATCTCTCAAATACATAAGTTAGATTTCCTGAAAAATTGATATTTAATTTGAATTAAGGTGTACCATTCTTTTTCCTTTTTTTTTTTAGAGTAGATTTATTTCCAAATTTCGCATCGCACGTTTCAGCGAGAAAGCTCTCTCTAAATTTTTATTAATTTCATGTATCAATTCGTGCTAAATTTTTATCCTT